TTCTTTTTTCTTTCTCTCTTTCTCTTTCTATCTGTCTCTTTTTTCTCTCCCTTTCCCTCCATTCCTTCCTTCCTTCCTTCCTTTTGTCTCTCTCCCCCTCTTTCTTTCTTTCTTTCTTTCGTCTCTCTCTCCCACTTTCTTTTTCTTTTCTTTTTTCTTTCTCTCTTTCTCTTTCTATCTGTCTCTTTTTTCTCTCCCTTTCCCTCCATTCCTTCCTTCCTTCCTTCCTTTTGTCTCTCTCCCCCTCTTTCTTTCTTTCTTTCTTTCGTCTCTCTCTCCCACTTTCTTTTTCTTTTCTTTTTTCTTTCTCTCTTTCTCTTTCTATCTGTCTCTTTTTTCTCTCCCTTTCCCTCCATTCCTTCCTTCCTTCCTTCCTTTTGTCTCTCTCCCCCTCTTTCTTTCTTTCTTTCTTTCGTCTCTCTCTCCCACTTTCTTTTTCTTTTCTTTTTTCTTTCTCTCTTTCTCTTTCTATCTGTCTCTCTCTTTTTTCTCTCCCTCTCCCTCCATTCCTTCCTTCCTTCCTTCCTTCCTTCCTTCCTTCCTTCCTTCCTTCCTTCCTTCCTTGTGTGTATCTCTCCCCATTCCTTCCATTCCTTCCTTCCTTTTGGAACGGGTTCCAAAAGGTACACTAAATTTCACGAACCGGTTCTGGTGTAGCGGTGCGAACTGGGAGAAACCCATCCTTGCCTCCTCCTCCCCCTCCCCTTGGGCAGTGTATTCACCGATGTGTGTAAAAAGCAAGGCGAAAGTGTACCATGTAAAATCCCAGACAGTCTTGCTTCAAAACAAGTATGGGACTTATATTCACAGATTCAGCGTCCTTTCAGTAGGATTTCACTTGGAGCATTTAGTGATGCCGCATGGGAGATGTTGGCCACGTGCTGAAAATAAACCAAATGATTTCACCTAAAATATTACACTCATTTGAAACGTTTGCACCACTAAGAACAGGGATTTGGGTATGAGCATGTATGCTTATTTGATCATGTGAGGTTTTATAAAACCAACATCTTAATTGTGCCTCTGTTGAGCTTTGTGGCCACATAAAACTCTGCTTTGCGTTTTACATTGTAACTTGATGTATTTTGTTTTAAATCATACAAATCTAAATTTCTATATTTGGGCCCATTTAATTTCCTTGGTCGCCCACAGAATGGTGCTGTTTGTACATGTTGAAAAAGACTCCACCATACAAAGCGGCTAGGCCATTTTAAAAAAAACTTTAATACAGTTGCTGGTGGAAAGCTTGACAACATGTACATTCAATTAATGGAAAATGGAAAAAAATTGTTACTTAATTGCTTTTACCCTTGTGTATGACTTTTGTTAGCTTAGCTTTTTGAAGATAACCAGCCTATTATTTAGGAAAGGCACTACTTTATGTACATGTACATATTCCTTACAGTTTTAGAAAACTTCAGAGTTTATGTTGACAGCCAGAATAAACTAAAAAGTCTGTCTGAATACCAACTTCTTTTTTTCTTGTCAATTTTTTTTCCTCTTGCAGGGCTAGATATTGCTGTTAACAGCTGTAATCTAGAAGTGGAATAAATGTATAAATAGACATATCTATGTATAAAAAAAGAGCAGTTGTCGTTCTGGTACAGAAAATGTTCCACTCAGTTGCATTCCTTCCATTTTTTCCCAGGTCCTGCTCAGTCTGGAATTTTGTCAGATCGGGAAGTAGTCAATCTTTTCCTACATTTTACTGTCAACCCTAAACCTAGAGTTGATTATATTGACCGACCCAGATGCTGTCTTAGAGGGAAGGAGTGCAGCATAAACAGATTCCAACAAGTGGAAAGTCGCTGGGGTTACAGTGGAACAAGTGACCGGATCAGGTATAGTGTGCCATGTTTTCAGTAATGCAACAATCACAGTGGTTTGAGTTTCCAAAATATCACACAGCAATAAACGTCGTGTCTAGTCGGAAAGCAAATATATTAATTTCCCCTTTTACAACTGATGGATCCCGTGATGTCCCATTTTTATAAATACTATAATAAAAGCAATAAAATATCACTCAGAGTAATACTTAAAAGACTATATACCTATCAAAAATAAGGTGAGTGCGCAGACTGGGGAAGCTTTGAATTTAGCAAAAAAGCTGTTACCCTTCATTATGCACCAAAGGTGGAAGCATGTCAGAAAGGGGTTTTTTTTTATATTTTTGCAGAGATCAGAAGTCATAAGAATGAAGGGTAGGTCCGTTTATCTAAAGAACGGGCATCGGATTAGTTTTTAACTGCCATCTGTGGGGCTGTGAAATAGAGGGATTTTTTTACGACTCGTAATAAGATTGGCAAAACTTCCCCTGGAAAATAGTACTCTGGTTAAATTGATAAATGGGTCCATACATTTGTAACTGAAATGAGCCATCAGCAAGTTTTAAAAGAAATAGCTTCCTAGTTTGGTAAAAAAAACAGTTTCAGGTAATAGTGTGTTTCTCTCTCTCTCTCTCTCTTTTAAAGGTTCACAGTTAATAGAAGAATTTCAATTGTGGGATTTGGATTATATGGTTCTATTCACGGTCCCACTGATTATCAAGTTAATATACAGGTACAATTGTTTTTCAAGTTTATAACGAGTGACTTATTGAACTGAAATCAGGGATATTCTACCTATTGTGAAATCCTTGGTGCCCTCTGAGCTTGGTTGTTTGCTTCCAGACATTTCATTACCTAACTAGGTAGCATGATCAGTTCATTAATATTCCATTAATGTTGTATCACCCAAAAAAATATATCAATTTTAATCCAACCTGATTACAGGGAAGTTAACAGGTTTTTAAACCACCTTAGAAGCAATATGCCATTCTATTTTCATTAAATCACACCTCACCTTCACTTGAGAACATGTCACCAGGATGATGCAAATAACATGATACACATTTGAGTTGTTTTAATCTTATCACCATGTATGAAATAACATGCAAAGGATTGAATCAGCAGCTGCCATTAAAAGCAATCAGACAGCATGTCAGTGATCAGAATAAAGAGAAGTGTTGTGTTCTGTCATGTATGTCGCGTCTCCTTGGCTGCCATTTGGGGATGGAAATAGCTAGAGAATTTCTAAAGTGATCAGTAAACATTATGAGGTGTGCCCAGAAATAGTAAATAGGTGGCATAAAGGCAGGAGTGGGAGGTTAACATTCCTTCTTTTTGAGCTGTATATCTGCATTTTTCTTTTTGGCAACCGTACAAAACTGGTGTGCTATGACTTGAGATCAAGCCAAGGTGTTGCCACAGCAAGAGCTGATCATCCATTCTTCCAATATTGGTTAGCAACAGATGTCCCCACCAATTCATTCCTTAAAGCCTGCTTAGCTCCCTGCCTTTATTAAATGTTATTGGTAAAAGTGAAACTTACATGTTACAAATTATTAGCTTCTCCTGATGATATTTACTTCCTAGAACGTTACTGGGAATCCACAAGGCCCCAGAGGCAGTCCAGATGTGCCCATTGGCCCTCAAGTATTAGGGGTGCCTGCTTTGTAAGCAAGGACATTGTTCACAAATTCCAATTGAAGGTCCAATTTTACCACATTGATTTCTGAAAGTTTTTTTTTTTAATAAAATTTTTTTATTTTTCAATTTTAAAATGCATACATTCCATCTTCCCTTAAAGCGGTGTGTCGTCTGGGCACAGATATTTTTTGCAACATTCTTCCATAAATTATAATACATTGTACATTTAAACCTTATAAATATCTTCATTTCCTTCTTAACATGTCTTCTAATATAGCTTCTAATTAGATAGATAGATAGATAGATAGATAGATAGATAGATGATAGATAGATAGATAGATAGATAGATAGATAGATAGATAGATAGATAGATATAGATACAGATACATACACACATATATACATACATACATACATACCCAATAACATTGATTATAGTTATTTTCATCATATTAATGCTAACAATTATTTTATTCTTATCGCTGTCTTAATACATTTTCTATTCTTCTTTCTATCTTCTTCTTTTATTTCCAATTTCCTTTTTTGTTCTCTAACCATTGGTAAAACACCGCCCATATCGTATAATAATCAGATTGTTCTTTCCCCTTAATTGCCACTGTTAGTCTGTTCTTTTCTGCACATTCTAATATTTTCCTAATCGCCTCCTCTTCAGTAGGAATCTCTTCACTTTTCCAATATTGTGCAAATACAATTCTAGCTGCCGTTAGTATATGAATAATTAAATATGCATTCTCTTTATTATAAGCTTCAGGTAATACCCTCAGCAAAGCTGCTTTCTGAAAGTTTTGTTTGTTAAAGCCTCATTGTTAACATTTGAACTGGAACTGGATAAGATAAACAGACTTCAATAGCAATATTTTGGCTGGGCATCGTTTAGAAAATATGTTCTTACAAGAAAAAATATTTTTTCCCATCACTTTCTTCCTACAGATAATTGAATATGAGAAAAACCAGACTCTGGGACAAAACGACACTGGATTTAGCTGCGACGGAACGGCCAGCACCTTTAGAGTAATGTTCAAAGAACCAATAGAGATTTTGCCAACCGTGTGTTACACTGCTTGTGCAACCTTGAAAGTAAGACCCTTTTTTGTGGGAAACAGTAACTATAAATCAGTGAACAAATGATGTGAAGACACAGGTAGTCTTCGACTTATAACAGTTCATTTAGTGACCGTTTGAAGGTACAACAGCACTGAAATGGCATTTGGGTGGTTTGACCATTTTTCACACTTATGACCATTGCGGCATCCCCGTGGTCACATGATCAAAATTCAGGGGCATGGCAACTAACTCATATTTATGACGGTTGTAGTGTCCCGGGGTCATCTGATCATCTTTTGCAACCTTCTGACAATGGGGAAGCCAGATTCACTTAACGGCCATGTTCCTAACTTAACAGCTGCAGTGATTCACTTAAACACTGTGGCCAGAAAGGTCATCAAATGGGGCAAAGCTCACTTAACAACTCTCTCAGTTAGTGTTCTGACCCTAAGCTTCCCCAAAAAGCACGGAGCAGATTCCTGATCCTGACAAAACCCCTTTTATTAAACGAATGTGAATTCATCTCATTCACATTCAGCAAAGGCCTGGCAAACAGTCTTTCAAAGATGAAGTTATGACCACAGACCTTATCTAGCCTGGAAAGCTGCCATGTAAATATTTTCCAAATGAGATGCTGTGCAAGGAAAGACTTGGCACAGAGTCTCGGAGATTCACAGACAGATTTTCACACTCCTGAAACAAACAAATGAACGAATGAATTGTTTCCTGCAAAAGCCCACTCCCCTTTTGCTCCTCTTTTATTTCCTATGGGAGGGGCCATTCACCATCCACCTGTGACCTTACTCCCAAATCAACCCTGATTTCTGAGCTGTTCTTTTCTTCTGGCAACTCTGCGCATGCACACTCTGGGAACAGGCTCCAGCTGTTCTTCTGCCTCACTGCTATCTAGCTCTGAAGGCAGCTGAGAATTGCCAGGTGGCGTCAGCCCCATCTCTGACTCTGATGCAGACCCTCATCAGAGCCTTCCCCAGCCTCCAGGAGTGGCCTATGTTCCTCTCCAACCTTGTCACTGTCTGACTCTGCTGCCACCTCCGCTGGCTGTTGGCAGGCCACAACAATTAGCAACAGAAATTTTGGGCTCAAATGTCAAGAACTACGTATATACTTATAATAATCCAGGAAATGCTTTTTAAAGTTCTGTTTGCTATAGCATGCCTCCTGTAAAATCATAAGGCTTTGCTTAGAATTTCTCATAGCCTAGTCTGCATTCCAAGTTTACTTATCCCTCAACAATGAATTTCTGTTTTTGTTTAGGGCCCTGATTCTCACTACGGCACCAAGGGTTTGAAGAAAGTGATCCATGAATCCCCAACTTCAAGCAAAACTTGCTTTTTCTTTTTTAGCTCACCGGGTAATAACAACGGAACATCAATAGAAGACGGACAAATACCGGAAATTATATTTTATACGTAACTTCAGAAAACGGAGATGGCGCAAAACAGAAATTGCTTTGAACACGAACAGAAGGGAAACATGAAATACTGTGAATTTTTGTAAATACATAATCTCAGATGTGTTATAAAACTGAAGTGTTGTACACGGAGGGTACCCAGCACTAGTATTCTCTACGTACAATGATGATACACAGCCAAGCTTTCTTGAACTAAAATATATTTACCTGTACATAAATACTTAACATGGTCATTTAAAATGTGCTAACCATAATCTGGAAGCCGGGAAAGAGCACTTTCTCCCCCTGAAATACACTTGCGGCAGATTGCATATCTGTGGATATTGTAATTGTGCTCCTGTACAGTGCAATACGTTAAACTGAATTGTCATTCTTAAATACTAACCATGAATTAGAATTAAGGACAATTACAGATTCATCAGTTATAGTACTCAATACCTGTATATAAACTTAAAACTAGTTTTGTTGTGTATTGGAAAAACCGTTATCCAGAAGTCAGTTGTATGAAGCTATTCTTTAACTATAAAGTGAAGTGTGGATGAAATGAAGTATCTTTTTAAATACTTGCAGAGATCTTGAATATTTTCGGTTTGTAAGGGAGCAGTTCTTAGTCTCTAAATACGCATTTTTTAAGGAAATCGGGAAAATTTCAGAGACCTATTAATGGGCTATTCCAGTCTTGGTTTTCTCAAATGGCAAATTGTTGGAGGAGATGGATGATAATGCAATTATGCCTGCTTACTCAGAAGGAAATTTCAATAAGACCTATTTTGGGGTACTAGAGGATTATTTCCCGATGATTGGGATAATTATGGCTCAGATTTTGCTTTAAAACGTCTTACCAGTTCCTGCAGTTTTAAAACCTTTAAGTCTCAGTTTCTGCCTATAAAGTTAATTTTGCTGAGGGTTTTCTGCTAGGATTTTCTGCTAACTGGCATGTAAAGCTACTTGAAAATACTGAAAAATATTTGAAGAGGTAAAACCGAAAAGCACATTTCCTATAATAGATGATGCTTGGAGTCAAATTATTCCATTGCAAAACCTCACCCCTAATGCCAATTATCAGTTTGGAGTCTAACCATCCTGTAGAAGGTTTTGGCTATGATTACAATGTTCTTAATCCCTGCTGCAGTAGTATAACCTTGGTTTCTGATTCTAGATCTGTTTACGTGGCAGGTCATAAGTATTCAAAATGTATCTAGATTCAGAAGCACAAAAATACATAGCAATAGCAGTTCGACTTATATACCGCTTCATAGGGCTTTCAGCCCTCTCTAAGCGGTTTACAGAGTCAGCATATCGCCCCCACAGTCTGGGTCCTCATTTCACCCACCTCGGAAGGATGGAAGGCTGAGTCAACCTTGAGCCGGTGAGATTAGAACCGCCGAACTGCAGCTAATAGTCAGCTGAAGTGGCCTGCAGTACTGCACTCTAACCACTGTGCCACCTTGGCTCTTGACTGAAGAAACACTAAAAATAAGTTATAATCAATATATACAGGCCCCAGGATACCTAGGGATGTATTGAAATCCCAGCTGCAGACTTCCCCGAATAAAGCATGTAAGGCAATGATGCCTTACACAATGTGCATTGAATTAACTCTTCCATTAGCTAGGAATGATGGGCGGTCTTAACACAAAGGACATCCTTGCAGAAGGTTACTTAAACACTCTGGATAGTGGAATGGGCAAATCCTCAGTGGAGCCAGTCAACTATTACTTAAGGACTCTCTGTATGTGTGAGTAAATGGCTACAGGAATACATAGTTCTGTTTTTTGACACACCTGAGACTAAAACCTTTTTCAGGTTGTACAATACATTGATTAAGCCGTCAACTAATCCATACTTGGTAACTTCCAGAGTTTCTCTAGGCGGGCTGACTAGGGAATTCTGGGAGTTGAAGTTTAAGCATCTTTAAAAAGTTTTCAAGTTTGGGAAGCATTGAACTAAGCCAATGGGCACTGCCAGTGCATCATCCTAAACCAACCCCCCCACCCGCTAATTTTCAGTTTGCACTGCTGAAATAGCTCTGAATTTTCTGCTAGATTTTCAAACAACCCTATTAGATGTGCGGTGTGAAGATGCTCAAACACTGAAAATCTCGACCTGCTTTATAAATGTAATTTAGAGTAATAGAATTAGAATTTGTTATTGGCCAAGTGCGATTAGACACACAAATTTGTCTCCAGCGCATAAGCACTCTGTACATTCAATAGTGATAGATCATTATAGAATAGAATAAAAACATTGTCATTTTAAATGTACACTAGCGGGGATACATGGCTCTCAAAAGATAAGTTTAATTTAATTAATTTACAAATGTAATTAATTTAATTCCCCTAGTCGTAGGAATCTTTTTTTAATGGCCAAACTTGGATACACATCACAGCTTGGTCTTTATCGATGCTCTTAAAAGCCTCTCGCTTCTCCTCCAGAGATTTTGTTAAAAGCCATCCTGGCAGCTGAAAGCATCCCGGGACGCGCCTCTAGACTTTTTCCTATCTCTAGGAGCAGGGCGGACCGGAAAGAGCAGGCGGAAGTGACGCAGACCCCGCGATGCTGGGCTTGGCTTTTCCGGTTTTCTGTCGCCGTTCGGGGTCTCCGGTTTGGGCTGCCGCAGTGGGACGAAGACATGCCATGCCCCGGAAGGTCAGGCCCGGAGTGCGGACGCCGCTGAAAAGGCTGCAGGCCTCGTGCGCGCGTTTGAACTACAAGCCTCTTCTCTCCTACCTTGCTTCCCGCTTGGAGGGATGATGGGAGTTGTAGTCTGGTGCTGCTGCAGACGCTGCTCTTCCGGGTTGGGAGAGAGAGAGAGAGAGACCCGTAGCCAGGATGAAGCGCAAAGGGGCAGAATCTGTTCCTTTGGGGAGGACGGTCCCTTGGGATAATTTTAAGGCCCCAATGCAATGGGGGGGGGAAGCAGCCTGCTCAGGGCTCAGGGGGTCTGCAGGGGCCCCTCATCTTCCATGGGAACTGAAAAAGGGATTTGATGCTTCCCTGCTCAATAGCCATAGCATTTAGACTTATATTCCGCTTCACAGTGCTTTTACAGCCCTCTCTAAGCAGTTTATAGAGTCAGCAAAGATGCTTCTCTCTATAGCAATAGCACTTAGACTTATATACAGCTTCACAGGGCTTTTACAGCCCTCTCTAAGTGGTTTACAGAGTCAGCTTCTTGCCCCCAACAATCTGAGTCTGTATTTTACCCACCTCAGAAGGATGGAAGGCTGAGTCGAATCTAACAACGAGGATTATTATATGTACAGTGACCATACACCGTTTATTATAAAGGACAGTCCTTTATTTTCCCTTACATTTATTTAATTTAATGGTTTTCTTGGTTTTGCTCTCAAATTTTCTTTTGCAAAGCCAATCAGGTTTTTTCCCCTAAATCTCTTAGATTTGCTATTCTTTCAGGTTTGCTCTTTTTCTTTTCCCAAGAAAATATGAACTACTGTTCTAACTTACTGCAATCTTTGCATCTTATTTTCAAAGCAAGAATTCAAAAGCCATCAAAAGATTAAAATAAACATTCATCGTATTTATTGCTTTAGAAGAGAGACATGCCTCTTTTGTTATTTTTGCTGCAAGGCCCCTCTACAATCTTTGCACACAAATAACCCAATTGCCTTTCAATCGGCTAATCCAGGGCTGTCAAACTGGCGGCCTGTGAGTGTGGATGTGTCACGCACAGGCCATGCCCACCTCAACTCCTCAAAGGGGTGAAATCGTTGCAATATATCACATGATGGCAACATGACGCCACAAGTTTCACCTCTTGTGTAGTTATGTGCCATCACATCATTTTTAACCCCAAGCCGCACCATATGTTGATTTTCTCCATGATCAAACAGCCGTGGCAACAAATAAATGAGAGACAGACAGAAAGACGGAGGAATGTTGGGTGGGGAAGATGGTTGTTTAATAATTAAATTGATATGCTTCCCATTTCGCTGTCAAGGACTCATTTTGTGTTTTGATTTAAGGGGAAAGCACAAACGAAGGACTTGGCTAAGCCTTCTGCTCCTCCAGTTCCAGTGACGAAGGATAAAAATGGTTCTGTTGTTATTTCTGTTCATGCCAAACCAGGATCTAAACAAAATGCTGTAACAGGTACGTTAGAGCATAAGTACACATGCAACATTGAAAGGGTTTTGGGTAGAGATTTGCCCTGTGCCCCAGCAAATTTTTCTCAGAGAAATGATTTGAGAATGGGGGTTGTCTGAATGAATCCAAACAGTTTGGAAAAGTGTCAAGGCCTTTGCTTATTGCGTAAATAGCTACAGAAGAGGTTTTTTCCCCCCACTCTACTTCAGATAAAAGAAACACTTGAAGTGGTGACGTTGGTTTTTTAAGTATTGGAGGCACTTAAGAACATTGTTGTGGCCTGTAAGCATCAAGGCAACCTGAGAGCTCCCAGGGGGAAGAGGGAGTGGAGCTGGCAAAGAGAGAGAGAGGTGGAGCCAGGGCCGTTCGTCAGCCCTCAGATGGAGAGTCAACAGCCCCCAGGTCTGGACGTTGTTGATGAGGAAGAGGAGGAACAGCTGGGTCCAGTGCCTGATGTGCAGATGTACAGAAGGCAGAGGAGAGGAGAGCAGTGGAAATCTATGGGCCGATCCTTGGGACGGAAGAGCCATGGCTGCCAGCGAAGCCCCACCCTAGCTCTGGGGATAAAAGGCAGGGGGCAGAGATGAATAGATGTGGCAGACAACTTTTCATCTTCTAGCCAGATAGACTTGTTAGCCTGCATTGAGAGAGAAACTTTTTGCTGGGGTTGCCGGCACTCCTAATTAAAAGAATCTTTGACTATACCGTGTACGGGTTCTGGGAAGTCGGGGGG